TATGCATCTTTTGCAATCATTCTATCTATTATAGTTTTCGAGAAAATCAATGAAATGTAAAAACACTCTTTTTTGAGCTTTTTTAAACTTTGAACACGAATTACAGCCAAACGGCTAAAACCACAGTAATATATCGATACATGCTAGATTCTTTAGTACTTTCCCCAAACACTCAGCTTTCATATGCATCTTTTGGTCATCTCTATTATGATTCTTTATAATTATAGTTTAAATCGAGTAAAATCAATGAAATGTAAAACACTCCTTTTTCGAGCATTTTTTAAATTTTGAACTCGAATTACAGCCAAACGGCTAAAACCACAGTAATATATCGATACTTGCTAGAATCCCCAAATATTGTCCAGGTGCTAATTAAAGGTATATCATCTTTGTTTCGAAGATGCTAACCAGGTATCATTTCAAGCGCAACACATAGCCTCTGAATTGATGCAAGACCGTACGCATTTACCTGCTCGAGGTAGCACCTGTTTAACACAGAAAATGCACACGGATCGAATCAAGTTTATCTTTTACATTTTATTAGGAGAAAGTTAGTGTCCTGTATGGAGTGGAAACGCGTTTCGGCAGATGTCGCTCGATGTACTCGCTCATTTGAATTACGTAAAATTCGAAAATTGCTAACACGTGCATCACTCATTCAATACTATTATTATTGTTATTTGCAATTAAATAGAGCGTTCGTCCTCGACAAACTCTTTGATGTTGTAATTCCAGTGAGAGGAGCATATTTAGTATTTTGATTCGCGTGCATCTGTTAAAACGGATAGCGGTCATCTTATTTAGCCATCCGATGAATGGGAACGAGATAGAAGAAGGAGGAGGTGGAGGGACGAAATTCGGAGATGCAACGAGGAGAGAAGTGCCGTTCTTTTTGTTGTCATCTGTTATACATACATCTTTTGGCCACCGCCACGAAATTTACCGTAAGCCAATTTAGTAGTAGTGGTAGTAATAGTTCTGATACAATTTCATTGTTCGTATAGCTGGAGGCGGTGTGGAGAGCTGCAGCAGCAATCAACAAAAAAGAAAAAAAGGAAAAAAAAGAGGTGGAGGTCGAAGAAGTGGTTTTTGTTGTGGAGGTGGAGGAATTAGGTCTAGAATTCGTCCGCCGCAACGGTACTCTCTTCCTCGACATCATCCTCATCATCATCAACGATCGTGTTGGTGTAGTCGTGAAGCGCAACACGAAAATATCCAGTGGTCAGTAGAGTAAGGAGCCTTCGAGCGGACACTTCGCTCCTCATCTCCTTCTCGTTGATGTCAATGAGAACTACCAGCATCGTTCGTTGAGATATAACAAATCCAGAGGTGAGATTATTTTCCATTTATCATTAATACATTTATTATTATTTTTGTATTTTTTTCAATTGATTATAAATTGAAATTGCAAAAAAATGTAAGTCATTAATCAAGTTTGCTATAATATGCATTTCCTCTACACAGCCACCAACATAAATCCAACTCTGATTTGAATAATGGGACAAATTAATGAATGACGTGTTAATTTATTCGGATCTGAATTAATTGGGTTATTTTCTTTCTTTCATTTCCCATTCTCTTTGTTGGTTTACAGTTTAATTCGGTGTTTTCGTTGTACGGTTTTTTTTCCGTTTTCGGTCGCGCGCGAGCCTTTGAAGTTGTTCCAATCGAAACGGTTATTCATTTTTGTCGTCTACTATACGTGAATGCAAATCCAAAAACGAAACTGTTTATTATAATCGTTATTGTAATGCCATTGAGCGAATAGAGTCAAAATTATGTAATAGACGAATAAAAATTTGACATTGTTATCTGTCAAGTTGACGTTCAATTATATCATTGACAATTATGTCAAGTTGACTTTGCGTTTCTCAAAATTATCAATATCGCTTTGGGAAAAATGTCATTAATAGAACTGGAAATGACATATTAATTGGTGGTAATTCTGAGTTATTTTTCATTAGTCAATGCAGCAAGACTATTTTCTTTACTATCGTCGGAGGGAATTTCTACATTTGTCATTGTTTTGTTTCGTTGGTCGGTTATCAGGTGGTTTCCTCTGACACTTTGCCCTCCCTGACAGTTGTCGCTATTCTCTTTTGTTTATGTTTACGTTCCGTGTCGTTGCGGTTTGCGTGAGTATGCGTGTTGGGAAAATTTGTGAAATTTGCTCATGCCGCCTCGTGCACACACACACACACACACACACGAGAAGGACGGAAGGAGGAAGGTCTTCTCCTCCTCTTCTCATTTTCCTCCTTGTTTCCTCAAGACTTGGCCAAGTTCGCGTCTCTCATTCACGTCTCGCCTGCCTTCCACAGTGCAAGTGTGTGACGAAGAGATAGAACTAAACTTTTGCATCCAGTCGAATTCGACAACGAAATACGGTAATTTAACACACACACACATTATTTATTTCTCAATTGCTGTATTTATTCGGTCTTTTCTCTTTTGCGTGCGTTTATCGTTTATCAGCCGCAGCTAATTAACTAACTTTCACATTCTCCGTGACACTTTGCGTGCCGTAATCTTCCATTTCTTGTTGTTGTTATATTTTCATTATTAATTATTACAATTACCTGTTTGTATTCATCATTTGTACATTTTTTTGGGAATCTGCTCTTTCCGCTCAATTTAACACGATGAACTAAATTTGATCACAATTTCGGGGCTTTTTCTCGTTTTTTTTTTTGTTAATTTTTTTGTTACATTACGTAATGTAATGTGGAAGAGAGGATGTTTGAATAACGGTTGGTGTTGGTTGGTGATTCAGTAGATTCGCATTTAATGAAATTTCCCATTGCTAATATATTTAATCGCATTAGATTCGAAGGTAAACACACAGATTGATAATTGATTTCATTATATTATGCCTTTGTTTATGCACACTTTCCAAGGTCTTGCCAGATATTTCTGCTAATACACATCTATCTTTGACTATAGCACTTTTTATATTTCATCAATTTCATAAATTATTTTGTTGTGTCTTTGTTAAAGTCCGAACTTTGAAATTTCGTTGATACTAAATGCTTTAATATCAAGGTTTAATATAATTTCCTTTATTCATTACAACATATTTATGAAATATTCATTAGGTCTCGTTCCACATTAATGCATTTATTTATGAATAATTTAATAACAAATCACTTGTTTTTACCGCATTACAAAATGTCAATGTCAATAATCTTCTCTATTAGTATAATTAATATTGTATAGTATATACTTTTCTTTTTTTAAATTTAAATCTTAAATAAGTGTTATTGGAGTATTTGGTATTTGTTTTTGAAAGGCGACGAATTATCACCGTGCGCGATTATTATTATTGTAATTAGTCGAGCGTGCCGCGAACTGATTTCAATTGTCGTTTGTTGTTACGGCGACGGAATGCTGTTGTGGGCGTCTTCGTTTGTTTTCTGCATTTGTTTTGAATTGAAACAAAACGCAAAAAAAAAAACGTATCGATACTTTGATTATTTTAGCAATCCGTTTCTGTGTTACAACTTTAAATGCTCGTTTCGTTGCTCAATTTCCAGTTGATTGCACGTTTTTAAATCGTCGTTTATATCAATTTGATGAAAAGTTATGAAACGGAATTTCTAAGTTTAATATTTCTTTAATTGATTTGTTGTTGTTTCTATGGATATTTGTGTCATTAACGCAACAATTTCATTTGTTTTATATATATATACTAAATGCACTAAATATAGCGTAAGAAGAGTAAACAAACGAATAAGAAAGTTCCTCCTGTCTAAGTGGCGTGAAAATGTCGATGTTTATGACGACTAATTGGAACACCACAACTGTCAGCTTTTCTACTTTTTTTTTCTTTGTCTCGTTTCACGATTTTCTTTCTATCTTCAATTCCATCATCATCATCTTCAGCATTATCACCTCTCTTGCGCGATTTTCTTTTCTGTTCGCCTCTGCTTACTTTTGCTCGCACCTATTTAGTAGAGCACCGCGACTGCATTGCTTGACCGGTTCTTCTCTACATTTGCTGCGATCCAAACGAAATTATACATATTTTTGAGATTACGTTTCCAGTTATTAAGTGTTATTAACATTATTAATTTGAATCGTTATCCTCTGATATGTTGTGTTATTGATAAATGTGTTAATGAGTCTATGTGTTTTCAATTTCTTCCTGCGTTGTTCGAAACGCGTCGTTTTTATCTTTCCCCATTCCCCCCAGTCAGCTCGCTGATGCTATTTCTATAAATGTATATCGGTGAAGGGCTCGGATCCTCCTGATAGTCTAGGAGTCCTTGGAGGCGGCGGTGGAAGGTGGTCGAAGGAGAGAAAGAGGAGGCGGCGGTAATGCGACGTGCGGCGGCCAAGCCGAGCCACCTGACCCAATGACCCTGATTCTCTCTCTCTAGGCCAAGGTCCGAGACCTTCTTTCGTTTTCCCGCGGCGCGCGTTACGTAACACACCAATAACTGTAAATAACGAATTTAATCGCAACAACTTCTTCTCTTCACCTACGCGCAACTTCAGACGAATTAATAATCAAAATGTACTTTCTTCCAGTCGAAATTATGTATGATGTTTCTCTTCTCCTATCTTCTGCATTCCGGCAAAACCCGCTCGTCTGTGGGGGGAAAACCGATGACATTAAATTCTTTTTTTCCCCCGCAGCTTGTTCCACTCTGTCCGCATGACTACTACTATATAAACCAGTTCCGTTGCTTCTTTCTCTCTCTCTCCATCTCACGAACTCAATGTTTCCGTCTCGTCCGAGAGAAAATTTAATTTGAATGCAGTTTTATTTGTTTGGACACAGACGACAGCAGCAGCAGCTTGCAGCGAAGATGATCTTCGCGTGGGTGCTTTTGGCGGCGACGTCGCTCGCCTTCGCCGACGAACAGGCTGGAGTGCAATTCAGTTTGGGCGCCAGCGTCGCTTCATCGCCTTCCGGTTCCGGTTCGGACATTTCGTTCCGAGATGATCCGGAACAGAGGACTTATCAGAACGTCGAGGAGCCCTACACCCTCGACTTCAACTACCACAACTACGACCAGATGACCACCTTCTTGCGCCAGACCAGCGCCAAGTTCCCATCGTTGACCGCCCTTTATTCCATAGGAAAATCCGTGCAAGGTAATCAATAGTGATTCAATTATTCTCTTGATTGATTAATTTATTTGTTTCTTGTTGTAGGACGCGATCTGTGGGTGATGGTCGTCTCCGCATCTCCGTACGAACACATGATCGGAAAGCCGGATGTGAAGTACATAGGCAACATCCACGGTAACGAGGCCGTGAGCAGGGAGCTCCTGCTTCACTTGATCCATGTAAGTGCGAATCCCTCGGCTCTCGGTGATATTATAACCGTTCTCATGGGTGGCGTACGGAGTCTATTTTTGCACTGAATCGATCAATCATCAAAACGAATCCGCCGAAAACGGAAACGATCTACCCTACCATCTCCGATTTCCGAACCTCCTTGTACTGATTCTCGCCACCCGCTCCAATTACCGCAGGTCCCATTTGGGGATCTTTCCAAAAAAAGAATATGTATCTACTTTCATCCTTTGATTATTAATATATTTATATGCATGTCCTCTATAGTATCTGATAACCGGATACAGCACGGATCCATATGTTCGTTGGCTGCTGGAGAACACCAGGATCCACATAATGCCGTCGATGAATCCGGACGGATTCGAGGTGTCGAAGGAGGGCGCGTGCGAGGGCGGTCAAGGGCGCTACAACGCGCTCGGATTCGATCTGAACCGGAACTTCCCCGACTATTTCAAGCAGAACAACCGCCGTACCCAGCCGGAGACGAAGGCCGTCAAAGAATGGGTGTCGAAGATTCAATTCGTACTCTCCGGAAGTCTGCACGGAGGCGCACTCGTCGCCAGCTACCCCTTCGACAACACCCCCAACTCCCGTAAGCTTGCCCACCTTTCGTATCTCTATCTATAACTCTTTTCGACTTTATTGATGATGAATTTCTCCTTCTTTGAAATGCTGCTGCAAAAGGTATTTGCAGGTCTTCGGCCTTGTGCTCGCGTAAGATACTCATCGAAATTACTAAACTTGATTTCATTATATCTGTATGCATTCGCTTTAATCTGTCGGGTACTTTTCAGTGTTCCAAAGTTATGCTTCGGCGCCGTCTCTGACCCCCGACGATGACGTCTTCAAGCATCTCTCGCTGACGTACTCCACGAACCACGCAAAGATGAGTAAAGGCGTCGCGTGCAAACCGTCCGCTTCCGGATTCCAAAGGGTAAAGTATTATTACGTTGAAAATGCATTATTACAATTTTATAATCCAGGGTATTACTAACGGCGCTGCCTGGTATCCGTTGACCGGTGGCATGCAAGATTACAACTACGTCTGGTACGGATGCATGGAGGTGACCCTGGAGATCTCGTGCTGCAAATTCCCGTCGGCTCGCGAATTGCCCAGATATTGGGAGGATAACAAATTGGTGAGCAATCGATTCCGCCCTACGTTTATAAACCGCTGACGTATCGCTTCGTTTTAGGCACTGATCAAGTTCTTGGCGGAGGCGCACCGCGGTGTGCACGGTTTCGTCATGGACGAGAACGGCAACCCGATCGAGAAGGCCGCACTCAAGATCAAGACTCGCGACGCTGGCTTCAAGAGTACCAAGTACGGAGAGTTCTGGAGGATTCTGCTTCCGGGAGTGTACAAACTTGAGGTAATAAGCGCACACACTTATATATATATTGATTAAATTACTATTAATTGTCTCGTTGTAGGTTTACGCCGATGGTTATGTACCTAGGGAGGTCGAGTTCATGGTCGTGGCCGAACACCCGACCCTTCTGAACGTCACCATGCATCCTGCCAAGGTAGGTTCGGTAAGTCAAACATGAAATCATCCAGCTCTTTTCTGGTGGTAGCGAGGAATGCAGAGAAAAACTAGTGTATATATATATATTTATATGTTTTTATTGCTGTCGTGGGTGTGTTTGTACAATATGGGGTTTATTATTTCTTCCAGTTCGGCCAACAGTTTAACCGCCCCGTGACTTCACCCTCTCTTAGTATGCTTCCAAAACCCGAACAAAACAAAAACCCCGCCGATAACGCCGACATTACCTTCCCCGAGGATTAAACCAATCCAACACCAACACCACCACCACCTTCTTCTGTTGTATATATTCTACCTCAAAAAACAAACAAACAAATAACAAAAAAAAACGAACTATCCCGTAAGTCACGTTACTACTATTTACTAATTACTATATTCTCATATACAATCTTGCCGCGTAATACTGACATGCAATTATGTGTTTATCAGAGGAAGGACGGGCCCTTCTATAGGCCGGGCGGTCTTCCGCAGCAGCCGCTCTACCATCACGGCCCCGTCTCTCAGCAGCAGCAGGCACAGGAATCCGGTCTCTTCTCGTCGATATCCAGCGGATTCAACAACCTCGTCACCAATATCTTTGGATAAACAAACACCACCACTACCTATCTACCAACACCTCGTTTCTAACAACAAACAAAAAAAAAACAGACTGATGAAATACAAACAAAAATGTTAAATGAAAAGAAAAGAAAAACCACCCATTCCTCCCATCCCGTCCTCTCCTCGCGATCGTCTTATTTATTATCAACTAAAATCCTCCATCTCCTCCTACCAATTAATTTATTTTATTAAGAGAGAACAAGAAATATATATGTAAGAAGGACCATCAAAAACAAAAACAAATATATATATATATTGATAAGGCTTTAACAAATGAAATATATTGTAAGGTATTCAAAAACGATTATTCTTTTCTATTCCATTCACAACAACAACAACAATCACCCATCCCACGCATTCCGAACATAAATTAATGTTGTTTTTTTTTCTAATATTTATTATGAATATATCAAATGGTACAACGGTTACAAAAACAGGAACAGATTATTGTGATTATTAGATGTCGGTTGGTGGGACGATCGATTTGCCCCTCTGCAACGCCGAAATGAAGGCGGTCAACTGCATGTGCTCGTTGCTTCCTGCCGCCAAACGGAACTCGATTTCGGCCATCGCCTCCCACAGCTCGATCAGAAAATCGAACGGAAATTCGACTGAAACATTTATATATTACCATTACTCTATTGCTGTTACCACACAAAAAAACAACAACAACAACTACTTACTTCTGTAGATGTATTTGAGCGCCTCCGACAATATATCTTGTAGAGCGAATCCCTTTACGGTTTGCATTTCTCTGATCTCTGCAAAAGTTTAAAGACGAGTTGAAAACATGATTAATTACGAAGTCACGTTATGTTTACTTTCGTAGCTTGTCTTAAAGTCTTTGCTGAGTATCGTCTCGATAACGTATTGAATGTCCGCAGGTCTCGGGTGTCCGACGCAGAGGTACACGTTCTCCTCGGTGATCTTGTCGTAACTCATGGAGGTGCTCTGCAGTACGTTGAGTGCCTTTCGCAGATCTCCCTTCGACAACTGCACGATCGAATCCATGCCCAGATGATGCACGTCCAACCTCCAAGTGACGTTGTTATTAAGTACAAACGAAGAGTGAAAACTTACTTTTCCATTTCTGCGACCATGTGGATGACTGGCGCCATGTCCAGATTGGGCACCGGGCCAAACCTGAACCTGGTGCAACGTGACTGCAGCGCCGGGATTATCTTGCTCAGGTAATTGCAGATTATGCAGAAGCGCACGTTCTCCGTGTACTTTTCAATAACTGCAAAACGACGAAAAAATATAATAATACTTCGTATCTATTTGTAATATATACGAAAATCTAACTGAGAGTAGTCAGTAGTAATAGGATAAATTGATAATCATTTATTTGAAAGAAAGACTACAAATTGTACTATTTTACAAACATATTGATTATATATATTTTTTTAGGGAAATGGATTATTGAATGCAACAGACTGAGGATTTTGTATGATGCACGTGCCCGATCTTCCTCTTGACGTTCTCCGGTGGTGATGGTACGAGCTCCACCTTGAGCACGGCCTGATGCTGCTCCTTCTGCGTCTTCGTCAAGGGCGGCAGACCCAAATGACGAGAGATTAGATCGACGATGCAGGCGTCCACTGATTCACCGGTCTTGGCAGATGCCAGGAGACTTATCAGGTTGTGATCGGCGACGAATTGATTGGTCTTATCGAGGCGTACGGCCCTCTGGTGCTCCAGGTCGCACTTGTTGCCGATGACGGCGAAAAAGGGAGCCGACTCCAATAAGCCGAGCACGATGGCCAACCAGTTGCTCATGTAATCGAAACTCGTTGGATTCGTTATGTCGTAGACGAGGATGATCATCTGAAACGGACGAATTTAGCGATTCGATAGTAGTAATTGACGCATTATTTATTGTTACGTCTGCGTTGAAGAGATACTTGTCGATCATGGAACCGCGAAGCTCGAGGCCTCCGACGTCGGTCAGCTTCAGCGTAACTTCCTTCCTGCCTGGAAGCGAGATTCGCTTCATGTAGAAGTCGGCGCCCACCGTCGCTACGTACTGTCTGGAGAACTCGTCGTAGCACAATCTCCTAATCAGACTGGTCTAGGACAGAGCAATTCGACACGAAAATTATCAAATCAGCGAGAGTGAAGTGCGCGCTAATCCGCACCTTGCCGACGCTCGGCTCGCCCACGAAAGCCACTCTGATCTCCTTGGCTGCGGTCGGGGCGGCGGCCGTCGCGACGTCCTCGTCCGCCTCCGAATCAGACATTTCCGCGACGCTCCGTTTCCATTAGGGCGAACACCGCGCCAAAAGATTTACATGAAAATGGGCAACACCAGCAGCAGCCACAAAACCGCTAATCCGCACGGCCCCACTCTGGAACACAAAAGGGCAACTCAAGATGCATATTTCATGCGACAGACGTCTCTCCAACACACACGCTCGGTTTCGGTATAAAAAGACTTGCACCCCAACCGAACATGCACAGTCCTCCTTCAACGATGTTCATCCTCAAGTCGTCTGCCCTTCTGCTCGTCCTCGCCGTCGTCTTCGTCGGACTCTGCGACTCCTGCCTCATCACCAACTGCCCCCGCGGCGGAAAGCGAGCCATGCAGGACAACACTCAAATCAAACCGGTAAGAGTAATAAATGCAAGATCTTCCACTAGTCTAATTCCTCTCTTTCTCTTTCTTCATTCCAGTGCATCACGTGCGGACCTGGTAGATCTGGGCAATGTTTCGGACCGGGCATCTGCTGCGGCCCCTTCGGCTGCCTCCTCGGCACCCAGGAAACCGTCAAATGCCAGCGCGAGGGATTCTTCCATGGCAGAGAACCCTGCATCGCAGGATCCGCTCCCTGCAGGAAGAACACCGGTCGCTGCGCCGCAGAAGGACTTTGTTGTTCCCAAGGTATAATAATACAACTACTATTACTACTACACCTCCGACTGACTCATAGATTACACCATCCAATGATGATTTGAAATTACATTGCTGATCTTTGGTACTTTTCTGATTTTCGCAGAGTCTTGTCACAGCGACAAGTCTTGCACCATCGGCGAAGCCATTTTCAGCGACTTTTACAACCTGATGAATTCCGAGTACGCCGAGAATTAAATTCCAACGATGCTAAATGAAACAACAACAACAACAACACCGCCACAGCCACCGCCGTCGCTCAATACTTATAATAATATATACTCAAATGAAAGAAAGTACGATTAAAATAACCAAATTATAATAATATTTATAACTCACTGTGTTGCACTCACCTCACCTACGTTCCTCTCTTCTCTGAACTGAACTTTTCACATTTCACCCCACCTCCACTCATACCACTTTAGTCCCACGGCAATAATTTTAATATCGATTAGTTCCATTATTCATGGAATATTATGAAAGATGTTTCGCATCTCGAATAACAACGATACCGATACCGCACGTGTGAGATGTACTACGACCTCGCGCCACCTGTATGGATCGGTCTCTGTAAGCGCACCAGGAGGCAATGTTGTGTTTGCGAGTCGCCCGGGCAACAAAAATCAATCAATCAATTCGGTAACAGACCACGCCTCCATCGATCCACCCATTTGTCCGCATTCGCCAATCATGTCGATGGTACTTACTCCTTCGCAGCGCATTCTGTGCGTCCATGGTCATCGCGTCGGCTTCATCCAATACGATCAGTTTGAAGCCGGATTTGAAGATGGTCCTGGTGCTGGCGAACGTTAAAATTTGCCCCCGAACAATGCCGATACCTCGATCATCCGACGCATTCAATTCTAGAACCTACATTTGTTTATATAATCCATTCAATAATAATACAAATAATGCAACAGTTTTTACTTACCATTGAATTGAACTGTGCAGGTGTGTATAGTTTTCTGGCGCAGGCGAGGATTAAGCTAGTTTTTCCTGTGCCTGGTGGACCATAGAATAACAGATGCGGTAGTTGCCCTTCATCTATGAACTTCTTCACTAAAAAAAAAACTTATTTGCTCAGTCTCAATCTCAAAGTAATAAAGTCACAAAGACTTACGAGTAGTGACAATGTCATCCAAATTGTAGAAATCCTCTAGGGTGTTTGGTCTGTACTTCTCCACCCTAAAAATCAAGACAGTGTAAACAAAAGAAACGCATAAACAATCAACTACAACTATTGTTATTTTCAATTACCATGGTAAATTAGGTCTATTCTCATCATAGCTCATACTCTTCCAGGAGTTAACCACAGCCATCTTTATATCTCACAATTAATACTTGATACACTTAAAGATGATGATGTACACTATTAATAACAATAATACGTCTATATCACATGTATACGGCGAGGAACGATTTGGATCGGATTTGAGGTTACAGAAACAAATGCAATTGAATATTTTACCGCCAAATATTGCGCGCCCTAGTTACCAAACAATTGTATAAGTATTTAACTGCAGCGTTTCTTCTAACGACCAATTCAAATTTTGTACTATGTTAACTTAAAATTAATAATTAATTTGTCTATTTATATTCAATTTGTTTGCAGGGATAAATGGAAATGTATCGGAGCGCGCGCGACTGGTTGCCTACAATAAAAATTTATGTTTCAAGTGAACGTGTAAGTATTATTTGTTGCTCATTCATTCTCAATTTTCAATCAATATTGAATGATTTAATCACGAATATCGATTTTTCAGTGGTCGTCGTGAGTAATAACGTCAATTAATTGGCAACTTCACATTGTTGACTTGTCATCAGCTGCAGCTGTCACATTGACGTTTCATGTGTTGACGGCGGTGGCGGTGACTTTCTCGCTCTGTTTGTTGTTGTGTGTTTTCACTGTGAACTGGTAAATTCGGTGTTGTTTGAAGACAACGAGAAGAAGAGTTCGCCATGGGCAACGTCGACACGAAGCTGAATTTCCGCAAGGCGGTTATTCAACTGACAACGAAAACCGAGGTCAGTGCATCGCATCAGATTCAATAGGAATCCAATTGGAACGAGATAATAATTGTGTAAAGCGTGTTAATCTTCCCTCCTTTTAGCCAATCGACGCAAGTGACGATTCGTTCTGGGAGCAGTTCTGGTCGGAGAACGTGAACAATGTGCAGGACATATTCACGCTGGTGCCTGCCACTGAGATTCGGAGCCTCAGGGAGGAGGCCCCCTCGAATCTGGCCACACTCTGCTACAAGGCTGTCGAGAAATTGGTCAAGGCTGTGGACAACAGCTGCAGAACTCAGCATGAACAGCAAACTGGTGATGATTACTTTTGCTTTCCAATTTGATTAAATAAATTATTAATTTTGTTTGTTTTCAGTATTGAACTGCATACGACTGCTGACGCGGATTTTACCTTACATCTTCGAGGATTCTGAATGGAAAGGCTTCTTCTGGTCGTCGCTGCCGGCGCAGAGCGAGAACGAAGACGATTCCATCCCTTTGGCGCAATCGCTGCTGAACGCTATCTGTGATCTTCTATTCTGTCCAGATTTTACCGTCATTAATAGTAGGAAAAGCGGACCGGTAATTTGTTTGCATTCTCTTGCAAATTGTATATTTTATTAAAATTAATTAATTGCAGGACAAGGCTGAAGATTTGAACGCCATCGACAGTTGCGAGTACATATGGGAGGCGGGCGTGGGATTTGCCCATTCGCCGCAAAGGCATCCGCTCCTGGATTCGCACAGGACCGAACTACTAAAGTTGCTGCTCACTTGTTTCAGCGAGACCATGTACAATCCGCCCGTGGATATCTCGCAGAGCCCAAACAAATGGATTGCGTGAGTGTTATAATGATCTATTTGAATTGCAATTTGATTGCGTTCCCTCTGAGTTTAGTTACTTGACTTCGGCGGAGAACCGACATGCTCTTCCGATGTTCACATCATTGCTGAACACCGTCTGCGCTTACGATCCTGTGGGTCTGGGAGTGCCGTACAACCATTTGATCTTCAACGATTCCCTCGAGCCGTTGGTCGAGGCGGCATTGCAGATTCTCATCGTCACCTTGGACCACGATACGAGCACCTGCAACCCGCTCGAGCCTGGCGATGAGGTATACAATTGATATTCATAAAAATATATATATTAATCTCGTTCGTTCGTACGTAGCACAATTCACCAGATAATCTGTTCATCAACTATCTGTCGAGGATTCATCGCGATGAGGACTTCCAGTTCATATTGCTTGGAATCACGAGACTGCTGAACAATCCTCTGGTGCAAACGTATTTACCGAATTCCACGAAGAAGGTGCATTTTCACCAGGAGCTTCTGGTATTCTTTTGGAAACTTTGCGACTACAACAAGGTAATATTTGCATTATCCTTTTGTGATTCAAAGTAATATATTTTTTTTTAGAAATTCTTGTACTACGTCCTGAAAAGTAGCGACGTCCTCGAAATTCTAGTACCGATTCTCTATCACTTGAACGATTCCAGAGCCGATCAATGTAAGTCCTATTTGAAAGAATACGTGTAATATTATATTATGTTTTATTTTAGCTCGCGTCGGTTTGATGCATATTGGAGTGTTCATTCTGCTGCTGCTTTCCGGTGAGAGGAACTTTGGCGTTCGTCTCAACAAACCCTACACAGCTACCATTCCTATGGACATTCCCGTTTTTACCGGCACTCACGCCGACCTCTTGATCATCGTCTTTCACAAGATCATCACGACCGGTCATCAGAGACTGCAACCGCTTTTCGACTGCCTTCTCACCATCCTCGTCAACGGTACGATTAGTTACACAATTTTACCTGAATTTGCAATCGATCTAAATTATTTACAGTTTCTCCCTATTTGAAGACGTTGTCGATGGTGGCGAGCACAAAGTTGTTGCATCTCTTGGAGGCATTCAGCACACCGTGGTTCCTGTTCTCTTCGCCTACAAACCATCACCTGGTGTTCTTCTTGCTGGAGATTTTCAACAACATAATCCAATATCAATTTGATGGTGGGAACAACAACTAATTAGTTTGCACAATTATCCAACATTAATTTAATTTATTTTCCAGGCAATTCGAATCTTGTGTATACGATTATCCGAAAGCGACAGGTGTTCCATTGCCTGGCCAATCTACCGTGCGATTATTCGGCTATAACGAGGAGTCTGAATAAGCGATCGAAGACGCCGCGTCCGCTGTCGCAAGCGACGAGCACCGAGAACGTCGCCGAATTGCCTATGGAGGGTTCGCACCCGGCGTTGCCCGCAGAACCGGGCACCCTGAAGGCGACTCTTCCGGACACTCCGGGCATCATCCAGATGACGGAACGAGAAAGCGCCCATCCGGCCTATCAGCAGATAGACCAGCACCACATCACCAATGGCATGGCAACTGTGAATATCAATTCTCCGCCCCAGAACACCGGTTTACCCAATGAGGCCGGAGACGCGTCCGCTGCCGCCTCCGACGACTCCAGAGTAAGTCATCATCTCTATGCAACAACATGCACTTACTAATCATCATCAACACTACTTTCCTAGCCCGCTCCGTCTAGTTCCCCGCAGCCTCAGACGAAGTTGACCGAAGATTTGCCGAAGGAAGAGATGAAACCCGAATCGCCGATCATTCCCAAGCAAACTGTGAACACGGTTAGTTAGTGTACGTCGACAAGTATTAATTCATCGAATTTACATGTTGCTTTATGCAGAAAAATAGTTTACGCGTAATTCCTGCCGACGAGAACAATCCGAGCGGACTGTGGGTGCCAACCGCCGAATGGGTACATTCCTGGAAGTCCAAGTTGCCGTTGCAGACGATCATGAGATTGCTGCAAGTGCTCGTGCCGCAGGTCGAGAAGATCTGCATCGACAAGTAAGTTACCACTCTTATTACTCTATTCAATTTTCTCTGATACACGTTTCTATCCTAGGGGTTTGACTGATGAGAGCGAGATCCTCAAATTTCTGCAGCACGGAACCTTGGTGGGTTTGCTACCGGTTCCGCATCCGATCTTAATCAGGAAATATCAGGCGAACACCGGCACCACGACTTGGTTCCGAACGTACATGTGGGGCGTCATATATTTGAGGTATCATTTGCAGTATATCACACGAAATGAAAGATATTCACTGAGATTGTTTTAATTTTAGGAATATGGATCCACCGGTGTGGTACGATACAGACGTGAAGCTCTTCGAAATCCAAAGGGTCTGAATAGCAATTTTTCGCATCTCTACTATCAAATTGGACGCAAAAAAGGGGATTCTATTTTCCCTTGCCGAGCGTCTTCAGGCTTAACGTACTTCTCTATAATGTTGTTTTTGTTCTTTCCTTTTTGTTTTTAACTATTTGTGATTATTTCTTTCCTATTCTATTCTATTAGTGTAGTTTGTTTTCTTGATGTAATTGAACGGCACTCTACGTATCCTTAAAACAACAAACAAACAAACAGAAAGACTGCTTCGCGACGAATGATTGACGCATTCCTTAGTATTAACGTGCAATTGATGTGTGCAATAGGTCGTTGTGTAATATTGGGTCTAAAAGAAAACATTAATTTAATTGCCGGCTAGCGAAAACATGTTTTCGCTTCAACAATTTCTTTTCCTATTATATTCGATTCTGCAGGCACAATTTTCTCTAAACGATATATAAACAAACAACAAAAAAATAATATATATTTAACATATTTAATATTTACTACTTGAACGTGTAAAGATCAAAAAATAATATTATGATGATTATAATATAAATAAATATTTATTGTAATTTAACCCATCGACGACGATTACGATTACAACTATTATATTCTCATTGCCCTTAAATTTCCTAACTTCTCACATTTCTCTATACTATGCAATTGTAGTGCTTTGTTGATGGTAGGTTTGCCTAACAGTTTGATTGATTTTCAAAAAAAAAAGTTATTAGTAGAAAGTATGCAGTTCCTTCCTTATTAATGAATTTTATTTTTTTTAGTATTAAAACTGGCTGCGGATTTCGTCAATGAATTTATTTTTGCTGCTGTTAATTTCCTCGTATTTAAAAAAAGAAAGGTTGAAGAAATCGCTCAATTTTGGTATTTTGTTCATCGTTTGCGGATTGCTGACGATTTGACCTCCTGCACCAACTTCTTGTTGTACCACTGTTGCAGAGCGACGTAGGCGACGCTGACCGTCAGATGGAAGCGGACGAGCAGTGAAAGGCCGTAGGTGATGAGGGTGCACCAGAGCAGTCTGCTCGGTGCGCTCATCAGTCTGACGGCCCTGAACAGTTTGCCGATGTCGACGAACTGGATCTGATACATGCTCCAAAAGGACACCACCACCCATGGCATCACGTAACTGGGATTACTCTGAAATTGTAAACTCACAACATTTATTACCATCTATCTATTTGCATCTGAATATCTCTCACCTCTTTCAGCCCCTTTCCGAGCAGGAGCGTGGCGATCAGCATTAGGATGACGTTCAGGAATGTCACGGAGACCAAGACGCCTATGGAACGAACAGGTGAGCGTCATTTCGATGCGCTTTTGTCAGTCAATCAGTTTGTTTGTTTATTGCGAGTGGCATTTCGTCAGTTCGTTTGTTTGTTTGTTGGAGGTGGTGCCTCTCGAAATTGTCGATCGTGATGTTAAGGTATGTTGCATGCAATACCTGTATTGTTTTTGCTCATCTCGACGTTGAAGGAGACGAGCAGCGATCCGATCGTCCACATTATCGCGCTCAGAGCGTTGTACTCCTCGGAGCGGCGTCCTTCGCTGCTGCCGTCGCCGTACATCGAGCTCGGATCCTTCACCAAAACGCAACTTACTGAACTCATTTTTGATTGATTCCGTTCTCTTTGTTTTTCTTTTCTTTTATAATTTTGCCCGATTCACGACGACGACGACGACGACGACGATGGCCACGAAGGATAGGGAAGGGAAGGAAAAAGGGGACACACTAAACCGGAAACGTTTTGGACGTCAAAAAAATACAAACATTTGAAGCGACGCGCCATTCCAAGGCCATGTTGAATTACGTTTTCTTCAAGAGCTGCCACCATCGGAGCAGGTGGATAGCAAACGTTTGCAGGTGGAATGTTTTCAACATATCTGCAACTTATGCGGCCATCCTTGGTGTCCTAGGAGTGGTAGGAGCGCATATTACTATATAATTGCGTTGATGTTTCTGAATTAATTGCAGATTCTAAGCCTGTACCAGATAATTCAGATCATGGTGTGCGGACCGAAGCTGCCGTGCAACCTGCTGACCACGCTGAAATCTACGAGACTCATCGGCAGCGGTACGGAGCGCGACCTGAGACTCATCAGCCTGGTGCTTTCGATGGAGTATTACATGCTGCTGGTCGTCGGGACGGTGCTGGTGAGTAACACTTTCACCTATTTCCTTACCGACGGCGACTCGTTAATTTCTGATGATCTGCTGACACTGTAAAGAGAAACGGTGTCTTCTTCCTGCCGTGGTTGATCTTCTACTCGATCGTCATTTGCCTGGAGTTCCTGCTGTTCGTGTCGCGCTCCTGCTCGGACGGCATCATCATCAGAAAGCAGTCGGCCGTACTCGCCATCTTCGTCGTCTACAATTGGCTGGCAATCTTCTGCGCCTTTCTCCATATCAACGGCGGCCACTGTTGAATTAAATCATGCCATTGCTGATTGTGTTGGCTTTGTAAATTGTATTTCTTTTATTGTTTTAAAAGGGTGTCACAATATTCGTCGCTGACGGCACCGTTGAGGCAAAAGGAGTTCAACGTCTGCCGCACGATGGAACGGGCCGTGTCGTTGGGGCCGGCGCGTCGCAGATTCGCCAAAACGTCTCCAAAGTAAGCGTGGCACGGCGTCTTCGTCTCCATGTGGAGACCGTCCTCGTCGATGTTTACGACTCCAGTTGGCAATTCTTGGAACGCCCGCACGTTGCTCTCGACGAAGATGTCCGGACCCCAGAGGGCCGGCATCAGGTTGTGCACCTTGATTCCGCCGGTCGAGTTGCTGCGCGCGTTTTTGATCGCGTCTCCCGCCGGTAATTTGAAACTGACACCGCCGTATTCCCACAGCATTAGCGCTCGAGCAGCGAATTCCACCAGCTCCCCGTTTAGCCGTTTCCAATACGAGAATAACGGCGAAAACGTAAAGAATTCCTGCATCGATTCTTTGCGCAACGATATTACGGGGTAGCGGTTGAGAAGTGCGTGAAGGCTCTCAACACGCGCCACCTTTTTCTGCGTCAAATTAACAGCGTTTACCGGATCCAAATGCAACCTCCTCAGCTTGTCCTTCCGTCCCACGTTTATGTTCATCTCGGCTCCAGTTATAACAGCACGTTTCTTCCTCACAATTACCACTTCCGATATGTTCTTCAAAACTATAAGATCAATGTTCATACTTGGATAGTTCTTTGCGATCTCTTCCACAGCTTCCAGCTGATGCTTGTGCCATTTTCCGCTGTGCACCAGGTATATCTTTGTGAGTGTCACGTTGTAGTCGTAATTCAGACAGCGCGGCCTGAGATGATGTCTCGAAGACACGGTCACACCAATTAGCATTATGAATAACACGAAAAACATCAGCACGAAGATGAACGCTGACAACCAGAAGCTCGAGACGTGACCTACAGACAAATATTTATCATCTTCACAGCTTCAAATTCTAAATGTATTTTTGTATCAGTAACTAACCTGGCCATTGCGTGAACACGTTACTTGCCCCTTCAGAGATCCTGCTGTATCTGTTCCGATCGAACAAAAAGTTTCTATTCTTATGTTGCTGTGACTTGTTGCTGCCGTTGTTATTGCTATCGTCCAAAAACAGCAGTAACAGCGGCAGATTTTCTTCGGATTTCTCTTCGGATGGAATCATATTCTTAATTGCATCTCCAAAATTATCATTATCAATTCCCTATTTTCGATTAAACGGATGGGGAAAAGAAGGAAAGGGTTGTGTAAAGTGCAAAATTAAAACATAAAAATAATAAAGATGACACGTGACTCAGACGTGCTTTGATTCTTTTCTAAATAAATTCTGAAATGACAAATAATAAGTCGATATTACTACAAAAATGTATTTTATTTTATCAAAATAATAATAATACAAGTATAAAATATTATAATTACATAATATTGGCAAATGTGTCTTAAGGGCTAAAATGAGAATAAATAAGATACTACGTTTTTCTTCTCTTCACTTCTTCGTCGAAATATTTACAAAAGTTTAATCGTAACCGCAAC